TGCGACTCCACACCACACTGTTGCACCACCACTTCACTGGCTGCAATAGGTCTGGCTCTCAGCCAAACCAGTGATTTCAACTCTTTAGCCACCAACTAGATTAGCAAATGAATTGTTAGTGATTTCAACTCTTTAGCCACCAACTAGACTAGCAAATGAATTGAGCTTTCACTAGACTAGCAAAAGAAAAGACTCCTCAGGGAGTCTACTTTAGGGCTGTCTTTAAAACAAAGGGGAAAAGGTGCAGGTCAGGCCAGTCTTATAGCTCACACCTGGCAGGTATGCAGTAGGCTGACTCAAGCCCTTTAACCCTTTCCCCCAGCTCAGTTCACTCAGTTCTGGAAGGGGAGAGGCTTGTTCTTCCGAGACCTCTTCCCATGATGGTGGTGTCTCTCCTGCAAGCACTGGTGGCATGTTTTACAGTTCCCACATTTAGGGGTAGCATGATTAGTGACCCCCACAACAGTCCCAAATTATATACAATTCTCCACATTCCATTCCAACACTGACCCTCCATCAGCCCTGGCTGAATGGGATTTACATAGCCACACCTTGGATTCTCTCCTGAGCTGTATTTACATGTCAATAGTTAACAGTTAATTACCTTGCAGAGCTAAACAACTGTAGTGGGCACACCCACCCCTCCTTTTAGCTGGCTGATAGCAAGCAGCAGTTCAGCCCCTGCTTACACTGGCAGCCACAGTGTCTAAGGAAGATACACAAACATCTCAAGGGGAGCAGACAGGAGCCTGCTTTACCTAGAGACATACCAAAGCCTGGGCTTGAACCAGGCACCTTTAGAGCATCAGTCCCATCATCTTCCAACCAAGCTACTCCTGCTGCACCAAAGAGCTTTTCTTGTCCTATAATTCTTTGCCCGAGAATGTTGGCAGCTGTGCCACAAAAAGGATGTTGTTGTGCACTGCCTAGGAAGGCAAGACTAGTGTTTCCTGCCAGTCACATTTTGGCTTGCTTCCTCCCCCCATTCCTGCCTTAGCTCATGGGTTGACTTAGTGGCTGAACTAGATGGAGGCCCAGCATCATGGGGAGGAAGCTGGGCTACGTCTACACTGGCCCCTTTTCCGAAAGGGGCATGCTAATTTTAAACTTCGTAATAGGGAAATCCGCGGGGGATTTAAATATCCCCCGCGGGATTTAAATAAAGATGTCCGTCGCTTTTTTCCGGCTTGGGGAAAAGCTGGAAAAAAGCGTCTAGACTGGCCCGATCCTCCGGAATAAAGCCCTTTTCTGGAGGATCTCTTATTCCTACTTCAAAGGAATTCCCTATTCCGAAGTTTAAAATTAGCATGCCCCCCTTTCAAAAAAGGGGCCAGTGTAGATGTAGCCCAAGACCCTGGTGGCAAGAGTCATGGTGCTGCTTGCTTCTCTGCCATCCCAGCCCCTTGGAGACCCTCACTCCCCACCTGCAGCCCCCTGCTTCATGTCTAGGCACCTCTCAGGTCAATGGTGCTCTGACTCCTGCTGTGCAGCTCCTGCCAGCTTGGCCCTGTGGTGCCCCTTACTTCCAGGTTGCAGCGCCTGCTACCTGTCTGTGTATCTCCCAGCACCACAGTGCCCCTCACTCCCAACCCAGAGCCCAAGTTCTTTCTAACTGTGTGGCAGCCCCACCCAGCCAGGGACTCCGGACTGTGAACTGCCTGGTTGGAGGAGGGACTTTTCTCCCTCAGCTACGGCAGCAAAACTCTCCCAGACAGCTGGACTCTCTTGCCAGCTGGGGCTCACTGCCCATTCCCTTCCCTCCACCCACAGAGCTAGCCAGCCCACAGGAAACAGCCTCACAAGTGGCTCTTTCAGAAAGGTGCTTTGGGCAGGTGCAGGGAGGTTGTGGCCTCTGGAACAAGGTGGGTGGCTCAGGAGAACTACTCACAGGTGGGGGAATTAGCTCAAGTGGCAGAGTGCTCACTTAGCATGCAAAATAGTGATAGAGATGTAGCCGTGTTAGTCTGGTGTAGCTGAAACAAAATACAGGACTATGTAGCACTTTAAAGACTAACAAGATGGTTTATTAGATGATGAGCTTTCGTGGGCCAGACCCACTTCCTCAGATCAAATAGTGGAAGAAAATAGTCACAACCATATATACCAAAGGATACAATTTAAAAAAATGAACACACATGAAAAGGACAAATCACATTACAGAACAGAAGGGGGATTTAGCGGGGGGGAATGTCTTTGTAATGTGTAAGAAGACATTCAAATCTGCACTTGAAAGGGAATTCTCTGAACTGGCATTCATGCTAAAATTTGACACTCTCCGCACCGGACTTAACAAAGACCCCGGCTATCTTACACATTACAAAGATAGCTTCCCCAATTATCACCTCTAATTCTATTAACTCACAGACATTTCCCCTTCCCCACCTCTAATATCATTAACTCACTGGCATTCACCTTCCTTTCCCCCCCCCCCCCCCAAATCCCCCTTCTGTTCTGTAATGTGATTTGTCCTTTTCATGTGTGTTCATTTTTTTAAATTGTATCCTTTGGTATATATGGTCGTGACTATTTTCTTCCACTATTTGATCTGAGGAAGGGGGTCTGGCCCACGAAAGCTCATCATCTAATAAACCATCTTGTTAGTCTTTAAAGTGCTACATAGTCCTGTATTTTGTTTTAGCATGCAAGAGGCAGTGGGATCAATGCCCACCTTCTCCAGTAATTGGGGAGACCTTGTTTTTCTTTTCACAGGCAGAACCAGCCAGGGGGCTAAGGGCCTCCAGTTGCCTCTCCCTCTTCCCTACTTACTCTGCCCAAAAGCCAGCCCTCCTGTGCCTGGCAGTGGCAGGAGCATTGGAGACAGGTTGCCTGAGGATGGGAGAGGAGACAAGAGGCCTCATCTCTCACATACTTTCCCTTTACTTTCATGCCAGGAATCACAGGTGACAGGGAGCTCCCTGGCCAGCCTCAGCCACTTCCTGCTTCATGGCCTAGGCCCAGGCAGCCCATCGGGGGTCTCTGTGTGGCCCCCCAGAACTTTTGTTTGCCGTTGCCCTCCCACAACACTTACACGGCTCACAGGTGGATGCTGGCTTGATACTTAACCCCACGGCTCAGCAACGAGCCCCCCAAATTCCCCCTGTGCTCTGGGAGCCAGGTTTGCTGTTTGAATTCTGTGAAGCAGTGAACGTCAGGCCTGGGATAACTGACCGATTTCCCTAGCCCTGGAGCACTGTTGCACTCACAGCTGTGATGGCCAAATGGTGAAGGGAGTGGATTTGAACATTCAATATGGGGTTCCCTGTGCAGGTTCAAATGCTGCTCACAAGGAGGCCTGTGTTTTTCCCCTCTCCCACCAAGCTCCGGCAACACAGCTACATAACCCCTGAGACACTCTCCACCCACCCATCTCTGTAAATCCCCTTCTGCTCCTTTCAGAGAGATGCCTGAGATGATCCCTCACGCTGGGTCATTCAGGTCTCAGCACCTGCCACTCACCCAGCACCCCATGGCTCAGCCCTACCCCTGGGGCTGTTCCATTTTAGAGTGGGACAGAAGCTGAGCAAGAGGCCCTTCATGCAGGGGTGGAGAGGAGCCAGCAGCAAGGACAATCCGGGGGGAAGGGGGCGAAGAAGAACCAGAGAGGAACAAGGGGCAGGCGGGGAACTTTTGGAGGGCAAAGGGAGGGAGGAAATACAAGATGGCTACGTCTACACTGGCATGATTTTCTGGAAATGCTTTTAACGGAAAAGTTTTCCGTTAAAAGCATTTTCGGAAAAGAGCGTCTAGATTGGCAGGACGCTTTTCCGGAAAAGCACTTTTTGCGGAAAAGCGTCCGTGGCCAATCTAGACGCGCTTTTCAGCAAAAAAGCCCCGATCGCCATTTTCGCGATCGGGGCTTTTTTGCGGAAAACAGTACTGTGCTGTCTACACTGGCCCTTTTGTGCAAAAGTCTTTCGGAAAAAGACTTTTGCCCGAACGGGAGCAGCATAGTATTTCCGGAAAAGCACTGACAATCTTACATGAGATCATCAGTGCTTTTCCGGAAATTCAAGCAGCCAGTGTAGACAGCTGGCAAGTTTTTCCGCAAAAGCAGATGATTTTGCAGAAAAACTTGCCAGTCTAGACACAGACGATGGGTGAGGCCTCAGGGTAGGCAACAGTAAGAGCCACAGTGCGGGCGGGGCCTCAGGGGAAGAACGTTCCTGGAGGGGGTGAGGCATGTTAAGACAATAGCGGCCAGAGGAGAGAACTGAGCAGCCTTTCTTTACAGCTCTATTCACACGCAGGGCGGCTCTGAGTGATCTGAGCCAGGGATTGTCCGAGGAGCCTCCTGGTGATATTCCAATGTCCCTACAGCACAGAGATTCCCTACATGAAATTTTAGCAATAACCATTGTTTTTCTAATCCACTGTGAACTTTTTAGCAGCTGGAATTTCTAGAATCTTCTTCGTGACAGGAGTTAGGGTTTTGTCTCTAGGGAAATATAAGAGTCTTCAGAGCAAAAAGAAATATAAGAGTCTTCAGAGCAAAAAGACTGGATTCAGAGATCCTCCTACATGGGTGCCCTAACTGTGGGTCTTTCCCTCTCTGTCCTCACCGAATGACTTAGGATTTATACACAGTGGAACTGTTTCACTAGCAGACTGAGGAACCCACATCAGATCAGCTGATAGCTGTGAGGCTCAGGTACTCTCCTGAGGAGTGGTAGAAGTCTGTTCTAAACCCTTAGCTTCATTAAAGGGAGAGGAAGGGCAGACATAAAATAGTCTCCCACATCCTGGGTGAGTATCCTGATGACTGGCCAAAAGGTTATAAAGAGCCCCACACTGCAGAGTTCGGCAGGCTCTAAGAACATCTACTGGACTGGGCCCTGTTGTCAGAGGATCATTTCGCTGCCATGATTCATGAGTTGGAAGAATTATGCACCTATTTCCATAAAAGGGGCAGGGCTTAGGACATGCCACAGTAGCTATTTTACATGGTTCCCCATGTAATGTGGAGATTTAGAGATCCAAGTTAAGGCACCTGTCCCTCCTCATTCATTTAATAAGGAACATTGTCACATTATTCAGTCTTTATTGATCCACTGCCATTTTCCTGATATTGTATGAACAAAAGCATGGGGCATGTCAGTGTCACAAAACCACTATCAGAGAGGAATGAGAAGTCATGGCAGACAAGAAAAAGATGGGCTTAGGTGTGTTACATCAAATGTAAGTAAAGTGACCGAACACAAAACATTCAGATTTCCCAACAACTTATACTCAAGTCCTGTCATAATGTGGGAATCTTATCTCAGCCTCTCGCTCTGCATGGCTCTGTTCTTGGAAGAACATTTCATCTCCAGTTTTAATAATGCTGCATGTCCTCGCTACACAGCCAAAGTAGGCATGCTGGACTCTTAGATTTGTCGGAAGAAGGAAGAATTATATTCTCTTGGCCCATCCCTAGCCAGCACACTTCTCCTGTGTGCGTCTTCAGTGGATGTGCTTACATCTCAGGAGGGATAAGCAGCGCTAGCAGGCTTTCCAGCACACCTTCCATCTCTGTAGATTCTCTGTTTATTAAGAGCTGTGCTCTCACTGAATTTGGCGCATTTAAAGGATTCTTTCCTGTGTGGATTCTCTAGTGGACAACAAGGATTGACCTCCAACAGAGGCCTTTCCTGTCCTTAGAAAATCATAGTCTCTTTCTCATCTTTGGGTTCTCTAATGTGATAGAATGTGTGACCACTGACTAATTTTTTTTTTATTGCACTGCATGTGTCACGTTTCTCTCCTGACAGATGTTGAATGAGGTGTCAGCTCCAAGTGATCTTAAGCCCGCCATCAGTGCAGTTACAGGGGTTTTGTCTTGTGTGAACTGTCTGATGTACAATAGAGTGTGAGTGTTCACTGAAGCGTCTCACAGAGCAGCTATACACAGTGTTCCATACAATTTTTCCCACACATGTGCAGAATGAATTTTGTTATGGGCACCAAGAGGGAGGGAATGTGTGACACATCATCTCCATATTGGTGCACAGAACAAAAATCATGTGGTAGGGGTGGGGCTCAGAGGTTTGGATTGTGGGAAGGGAGCTCAAGGGTGGGGCAAAGTGTTGGATAGCAGGGGTCAAGTTGGGAGTGAGGGCCCTCAGGTGGCAAAATGGGCTTTAGGTGCAGGCCACTCAAGGACTGAAGCAAGGGGAGAAGACTCCCATGAGTTCTCTCTTCCCCAGCTCAAGTGCTGCTGGGAATAGGGGGGAAAGGCATCTCTCCCTGCCATAGCAGCTTTGGGGTTGGGGCTGCAGGACTGTCCCCCAGCCATGGCAAGTCTGAGCCAGCACTGAGATAGTGTGTACAGGTATCTCCCCCCCGACCATAGCCCTAAGCTCCTGTATGGCATTTAATAGGCTGCTGCATGGCCACATGACCACACAACTTAAAGGGAACTTAGGTCATAGGATTTCTCCCCACATTAATTATTTGATGTTCAATGAGGGTTTTGTCCATAGTCAGAGCCGTTGAAGAGGGTCTCGTCAATGTGGATTCTCTGATGTTTAATCAAGTGTGCGTTCTGACTGAAGCTTTTGCCACAGCGAGAGCAGATGTAGGGTTTCTCTCCGGTGTGAATTCTCTGATGACTAATCAGATGTGAACGCTGATTGAAGCTTTTCCCACAGTCAGAGCAGTCAAAGGGTTTCTCCCCTGTATGGATTCTCTGATGTTTAATTAGGTTTGCGCGTTGACAGAAGCTTTTCCCACACTCAGAGCAGATGTAGGGCTTCTCTCCTGTGTGGGTTCTCTGATGTATAACCAGGTGTGCATTCATAGAGAAGCTTTTCCCACAATCAGAACAGTGAAAGGGTTTCTCTCCTGTGTGGGTTCTCTGATGTATAACCAGGTGTGCATTCATAGAGAAGCTTTTCCCACAATCAGAACAGTGAAAGGGTTTCTCTCCTGTGTGGGTTCTCTGATGTATAACTAAGTATCCATTCCCACTGAAGCTTTTCCCACAGTGAGAGCAGTTGAAAGGTTTCTCTCTTGTGTGGATTCTCCCATGTCTAACAAAGTCTGTCCTCTGACTGAAGCTTCTCCCACAGTCAGAACAATTAAAGGGTTTCTCCCCTGTGTGAATTCTCCTATGTGTAACCAGGTTTGAGCGACGAGAGAAGCTTTTCCCACAGTCAGAGCAGTTGAACGGCTTCTCTCCGGTGTGGATTCTCCTATGTCTAACAAAGTCTGTCCTCTGACTGAAGTTCTTCCCACAGTCAGAGCAGTTAAAGGGTTTCTCTCCTGTGTGGATTCTCTTATGTGTAACCAGGTTTGAATGATGACAGAAACTTTTCCCACAGTCAGAGCAGTTAAATGGCTTCTCTCCTGTGTGGATTCTCTGGTGTAAATTAAAGGCCTGTCTCCGTTGGAAGACTTTCCCACAGTCACTGCAAGTGTAGGGTGTCTCTGGATGGGAGATTTTCTGTTGAACAGTTTCTGTGTTTCTTTTCACTCCCCTGCTTCTGTGACTGGATTTATCTTGTCCCTCCACTGGACAGTTTCCCTGGACAGTTTCCCTTTCTTGGCTACACTGATTCTCACAGGTCTTGCCCTGCTCAGGTCTCTGGGAAACTTGCCCTTCAGATCTTTCCAATAACAGCCCACGTGGAGGCATTTGCTCCTGCAGAAGACTCTTCTCATTGTTCTCACTCAGCGTCCCATCACCTACTGGAGCAGAGAGAAAATCGAGACAGGAGTCATTCTCTCTGCTGAGCTGAAAGGAAAACTCTGAAAGGGGAACAGAAAAGGGGGAACACATCCAAATAATGGCTGAAAAGGTTGAATAATCATGAGCTGAGTTCATCCTCTTTCCTCACAACCCTTCCCAAGGCGACGTATCCAGCCTCCCCCGTCCACCTTGTGACTGGAGTTGAAGAGTCAGACTTGATGAAACTGCACAAGTGACACTTGCTATGAGGACACAGAAATTAGTTTCTGAGTCAGGCTAGTCGAATGCACAGCTGTGTGGGTGTCACTGATGAACCCCCCTTACGGTCTGTGCCATTACTGCTTCCAGAGCCAGGATCTGAGTTGCCCACCCAAAGAGGATCCTTCCCCACCTTGCACAGACTGGGCTCTGGCTGGTAGAAGATCCCAGGACACACCCACCTGCAGTAAAGGTGCATCCCCCCTGCATCAGGAATGGCCCAGGTGATTTATCAGGGGAGCTGAACACTCTGCTGAGCTCTCTAGGGTACAACTCAGTCTCCTTCATGACCCATTCCATCCCCCCATCCCAGGGCCAGACAGGATCACACTGCTCAGAAGAGGAGCTCTAGTGAGGGCTGGCAGGTCTGACAGTGAGGCCCTCAGAGAGGGCTCAGAGGGCAGCAGCCACATGGCAGGTCACTAGAATTTGGAGAGAAAAGACCCAGCAGAGCTCTAGCTTCCCAAGGGTTCTGTCCACAAAACTCCTGGCTGGAGGGCTCGGCTCACCCTGCTCTTTGGCTCAGGTGCTCTTCTTCAGTGTTTCTTAAACTTTTTAAGACCGAGGAATACCAAACACACCAAAAAATATTTTTTTTTATGAGAAACACTATTTTTTTTTTTTGAGAAAAAAAAATCAAACCCAAAACCAAAATGTTGCCTGCCCCTTTAAGGGCAGCCATTTTGAACTCTATTGTTCTCTGCAGCACACCTTCGACTGTCTCACGGCACAGTGGTGTGCCATGGAACAGTTTAAGAAACACTGCTCTATTTGAACCAGAAGGAGGCAGAGGAAGTTGTCTAAGCAGCTAAGTTAGGGCTACTCAACACATGGCCCGTGAATTGGAGCCAAAAAAAAAAGCCATCAATATAACGGTCTTCTGTTGATATGCATTTTAGTAGTTAAATTCCTGCCCTGTCATTGCTCATTAAAAGTGCTGTCATATGGGTAGAAATCGGGTAAATATTGATTTTTATTATTATCAGCAGAACTGACTTAAATGGGGCTTGCATGTTGTGTAGTCCTGCCTTAATCTGTGTATTCATGCCTATCAGTGTGACAGAAGCTATTTGCATATATTTGCACATATATTTGCATGTATATGCAAACACACTTAAGTTGAGGCCCTCGGCAAGTGCTGAGAGTATCACTGTGGCTCCCAGGACTTTCAAAGTTGAGTAGCTCTGAACTAAGTGAATCCTTGGTGGCTGTTTCAGACTCTGCCTACGTTCCACACCCCTGACACCAACTGCCTGTTCCTTGGTGGGTCCTGCCAGTTGCCCACAATAACTGCTGCTCCTGAGGCTGGCCCTGGTGGCGTTGGGCTGTGCTGCTTCTTCAGGGTGTGTGGTCAATACTGCACCTGAGCGCTCTGTCTGCTGCCTTGGTTCTACCCTGCCAGCAGCAGCAGCTGCTTTGTGTGGTTTCCCCACCTTCCTCTTGTGGCCAGCCTGGCCTCCCGTATATTCTCCCTCCTTCCTCCCCAGCTCGGCTGCACAGAATCTGCCATTCACATTTTCCCATCTTGTGGGCGCATTCCTGACATCTACAGCCAGACCCCTGCTGGGACTGACATTTAGTGCTGGGAAGATCCCTCTGTGATGTTAGAAGATTAAAATATGACCATGTAGGTCATTGTGCTACCACAGTTACACAACTGCAATAAACCTTGTGCAAAGTGTATCACACGCGATATCAGTGGGAATGTTCTGATGTGGCGACTGTGATCATCCCTGTCTGTATGTGGACATCATTTTTGTAAATCACGTTATGAATATGGACCATACACCTGAATTTCAAATATGGCTGCTGCTGTGGAAACACCCACAAGGTAGTTTCCATCCAGGCCAGCCAGCACACTGCGAATGGAGCATTCAGAGTGATGGTCCAACAACAAAACCCACGGCCCATGGAAATCTCATCCCACCAAACGGACTTTCCTATGGACTTTCAGCCAGACAGTGGGCAATGCCAGGGCTCATCAGAGCAGGCAAGGGCATGTGACCAGCTCATGTGACACAAAACTCCATCTCGCCCCTGTGCTTTTCAGCTCACAGTGCTGGAGACTTTGCTTGGAACTATGAGCTCCCTGTAAGCTGTGCAGACATGCGGCTGCACAGGAGAGATTCACACCTCGCCCAGCAAATCAGCACCGCGTGCACAGCTGGCAGCAGGTGTCCCTCCCCCCTCTTGCACTATCCTGCCGCTGCTCCTAGGAGGGACCCTCCTGCTAGCTGGAGGGGGGGGGGTGGCAGCGCTGACGTCAGGATGTCCCCCTGCACCTGTACCCCAACTCCGCAGAGCAGGGCAGAGGGGACACAGCCTGGCTCCAGAGACCACTGAACGGTGACAGGCTGCCCCTCTGACAGGCAATCCCCCCAGCAGCCACTTCAAACGGCCTATCACACACACACACACACACACACACACACACACACACACACAGTGAGTGACACACAAAAACACACACCCTGTGTCATACACACACCTTCCCCCCCCCTCGCTCTTGTGCCACATCTGCACAGGGGTCAGGGACAAGGCAGGACAGCTTGCTGTGCCTTAAAGAGACAGCGCATGGGGTTTCCCAGAAACTGGCCCCACAGGAGCCATCACACACACAGACTTTGCCCCCCTTCCCTCTCACACACACACACAACTGATCTGAGTCACTGACAAACACAGCTATGATGCCACACATACACAACACTGTTTCTGTGTCACACACACAGTCACGACTTTTTAAAAATAGGTATTAATCCTAGGGTGTTTTGTTTCTACTGGTGGTGCACAAGAGCACGTGCCAGTGGCCACAACAACATGTTTCCTACACATGGGCGGAAAAAATGAAGGGAACCCTGCCATCCACATGCCAGAGAGCTATACGCCATTTGGCCTCTTCCCTGCTTTGATCTCCATCCGTATTTGATTTCTTTCCCCACTTGTAACTCCTACCTCTTTCTCTTCACTTCCATACAAACCGTGAAAGAATTGGTAACCGTGTGACTCTGGGGTTCAGATCTGAGTTATTTATTGGCCTGGGTGTGTGGCTGGTCCTTTGGCATCAGGAGAAGCCTTTGGTTAATGAAACTTGTTTTAAAACACCGCTCCTCATTAAGTCGAGTGTCTGGGCACTGAAACAAGGCCTGGAATATTACGGAGGCTGCATTCCTGACTTATTGTTAGCCAGTGTGGTGAGACAGAAGAATATATTTGTTGCTGGCAGAATGCATCTTATGGGAGAACCACCACCAGGTTTGTGGTATGTCTGCCCGATTTCTCAGCAAACTGTCCTGAGCGTGGTATTCCCAGATGTGACCCACTGAGGCACAGTGACACCCCTGCGAGCTGAGCAGCTCAGGCCGGCTTGCTGGCGTTGTAAGAATGCCCTGTAGGAGGATGTTGGCTTTGTGGAGTCCTTCGGGTGGTGGGCTGGGCTGGCGAGGAGAGGCACATCTTCCCTCGGCTCAGAGATGGGGACGGACAGAGAAGGCGTGTGCCACGCAGTACTCCTGCACCTACCCCAGGGGAACCAGGGGCAGCAGTAGGGCCCTGCAGCTGCTCCTGCCCAGCACTCCTGCCCCCTAACCAGTGGGCCAGGCTGCCTGCTGCCATGCCAGTTTTTAAGCCCAGTAGCAATAGTAGCTGAGTGCACGTGGCCATGGCCTGGCTGCCTCATTGCCTAATCAAGTCATGGGGGTTGAAAGATTCGTGGCTCCCGATCCTGAACGTCTCTGTCTCCACAGCAAGTGCTGCGAGAAATGGGAAGTACCTTGGGGTCCTGCACAAACCCTGAGCCCATGTTGCTTTTGTCAAGTGATGGATGAACCACCTGAGGGGATGCGGTGTGGCTCCTGCTTCTTGTGAGCTTTGGAGAAGAGGAAGAGAAAAGTCACCTGTCTCCTAGCAGAGGACAGCACCGCTCTTATGGCCCTAGAGCAGATGAGATAAAGGGCGAGAGTTTTCTATAGCAGCCTTTTCTCTCCACACTGACCAATCTCTGAGTGGCCCTAATGGAGAGCATGGGTGCCCAAGCTCTGGCCAAGCTCTCAGAAGGGCTCTGTGTGATGCCCACGAACCAATCTGCAGGCACCAACAGCTGATCCCGCAGCTCTACCTCACGTTCTGGGATGTCCTGGCCCCGGGCCTTGCCATGAACTGGGCAGAGCCCCATGGCAGTGTGTGACTCCTCTCACAGAGGGGCCCTGTGCACCCTGCTGCTGGAGAAGCGGGACCTCCATGCCCTGAGGAATTGGTGCTCAGCGTCGCTACTGAGCATGGACTCTATGGGCGCAGCCAGTCACAGAGCTGTGACGCACCAGTGTAAAGGCGCCCCCGGTGCTGTGAGCTGCTCCCCTCCTGGAGGTGGTTCGTCGAGAGCTCACCGCACCACTGATGAGGAATAAATGGGCAGTGGCAGAATGGAGAGGGGCAAGTAGAGGAATCCTCCAGGGCCACTTCCATAGTCTTGTGGTCTTACACCTGCCTCCACTGCCTGCCAGTTTTCTGATACCACTAGCAGCTTGCTGTGCTCCCTCTGAGGTGTTTCCTCTGAAATCACTCAGAGCTGCAGAGATCTCCTCAGCTCCTGAAAGCTGATCTCTGCAACCAGATCTGCCCCATGACCCAAGCGTGGAGCCCTCCTGTCCGAACTCCTCTTGCACAGCTCCCATTTTGTGGAGGTTCCTCAGTTGCCACAGAGGCTGGTCTTGGCTGGTGTCACCAAAGTCAATGACCTCCTGGACGATGGTTGGCAGCCCCACTGGGTGGATGGTGGACCCCACTATGATTGCCCAGTACATAGCGCTGCCGACCCGACGTCCTCCACTCTGTGCTCCAAGAAGTAAAGCCTGCCTTGCCCCTGCCACTGTGGCTCTTCTCAGGCAAGGTGTTCCCCACCTGCCTGTGTCACCCAGCTCGCTGGCGCCTGATAGGCCCCTGCACATCAGCTCCCACCCATCGCTCAGAACCTCTCATTTCAGCTGACTCATATTGAGAATCTCTGTGTCATCCCCAGAGAAGCTCTGCACACTCACATTGCCCCTAGTCATCCCATTGGACTGTGTCCTGCCCAGACACACACTGGCTGGACGTGCAGCCTCCTCTTCAGGATGAGGCTGCCCCATTTCAAGATGAGGCGCTCTGTGTTCTACCTCCATTCCCCACCCCAGCAGGAACTGCAGTTGGCTGGGCTCTGTCATGGAGCACGGGCATGTTGCTGACTCCATTTTCAGCCTTCCCTGGTGCTTCGTTTGTTCTGGGTGACAGGGAGGCCCAGGCCTGTCTGTATCTGGAGTGTGCCAGGGTTACAGCCCCTTTTCTGTCTCCTCTGGAACCCCTTGCTGAGACTCTTCCTGCACTTTTGTCTTCACATTTGTATTGACTCACTGCCCACATAAGGCCCCACAAGTCTTCAGGCCTCCTCGTTGGCCACCGGTAAAGGCAGCCACACGTCACTGCAGGACAAGGGCATGGCAGGGGTGTGTTCTGTGATTTGGGTCAGTACGATTGTATCTTGAGGCCCATGTTACCCCCAAACCATCCTGCTCAGTGTCCAGTCACCAACACTCAGTCCCGACAAAGCAACATTGGATAACTGAAAACAGCGGCAGAAATAACTGTCCACAGACAGCATGAGGCAACGTGGAAATCACCGGACACAGGGGGCATGAATGTCCGGAGGGATGAAGCAAAATGCCCAAGAAGCAATGTTTATCCTGGTGCGTATTTTCAGTTCATGCTTTTCCAGGATGACAAGTAAAAACCCTCCAGTAAAAACAAGAAGGGGAAGGGAGGCCCTTGGTATAACAGTACTGATCAATGGCTGGGAACCAGAACAGGCCGGGCCTTGGCAGAATGGTAGCACACTAGGAACCAGCTAACCATGTAAACACATTCCAGGTGGGGAAAGAGGATAGAAAACACACCGATCTCTGCAGTAACTACAAACACACACTCCTAAGAGATGGCAGAGGAACACACTGACGCCTTGTGCAAACCAGGGGAGATGAGGGTATAATAGATATGGATATTTTTTTCAAATGAGCAGGTACAAAGATAGGGGGTAACAACACAATAAATCTGGCTGAGCGCCTTAGCCCCCAAATGCAGCCTGGGTCATTCTTTGGCTACGACCCTGAACTGTGCTACATGGGCAAGCCGGATGCTCTAACTCCAGAAAGAGACACCCTGAGTAGCTGTAATGACTCTCTGTGACACTAGCAGCAATTCACATGGCACTGCAGCTGCTATGGGAAGCAAAGATTATCAGTTACAGCAGTACCTGGGATCTCCGGTATCAATCAAGACCCCACTGGGCTATAGGGGTGCTTATATGGAGCTGAGCATCTCTCCTATTTAATGTATTTATCCTTCTCTAACCCTGTGAAACAGGAAGATACTATAATAGCTATTGCAGAGACCGGGGACTGGACACAGTCTAAGAGACTTTACCAATATCACAGCAGAGCAGGAAATTGAATGCAAGTCTCCTGAAGCCAGACACTCACATAGGAAGAAAAAGTCCCTATCCAAATATATTTCACTCTAGTCAGACGACAAGACAGATGACGTGATTATCTCCATTGCACACAGAGGCAAGTGAGCCCCAGATAGAATAAAGCTGGACTTTTCAAAGAACACAGGCCCTGTGCATGCAAAGCATGTTTATCTACTACAGAGCTACTCCACCACCCCCACCACAGAGCGTGAACTGCCTCATCCATCCTCCCTCAGCCCCAGTATCCAGCCCCTCTCACGGGCAGGAACCAGCATGTCACAGAGATCAGCCACAGGCAGGCAAGGACTCCAGGAACCGCACCCTCCTTCCAAATGGCTCAGCCCAGTGGCACAAGGAGGACCCCGTAGGCACTAACAGCAGCTGCACTCAGACCCAGAACTCTGGTACCTTCTGTTCCTGTCTGGACCCTTCCACTGACACCTCCGGCCAAGGTACAACATGGGCAAGATGGTGGGGAAGCACATTGAGACCTTGGCTGTAGGAAGAGCTGCACCATTATGTCATGTCTCTGAACCTGCTTCCCCTGGGAGGGGGCGTGGAGGGGACAGTCTCTCACATGGGAGCCAGGATTATTGGGGCTGATACTCCTGACATTAGCGTACAGGGGGAAAAGAGGGACTCTGAACCAAACTCACCTCAGCTGCTCTAGAGCCCACCTAGCCTCTGATACCCACAGGAACAGGAATCCTTACCCAGCCAGCTCACAGCCTCATAATTCTCCTGCATCACATCCCAGTAGAGGGCTCTCTGGTCCGGGTCCAGTAGAGCCCATTCCTCCTCAGAGAAATACACAGCTACCTCCTCGAAGGTCACCGTCTCTGCCACAGCCATTTCCTTTCCCTGGTTCTGCAGGCCATGGGCTGCGCTGGAGTAAGACCTGGGTGTTCTGCAGCCTGTCAGGGGGAGAAGGGCAATTGGAGACATTTCAGAAGGAGCTTTAATCCTTCCCACACCCCCATTCTCCTCAGACTCTGTCCCTAGTGACACACATGCTAGACTCTGGCATTTTGGGCAAATGCTCGAGTCTAGATATTCCATAAACAGCATACACCAGTTAGATCCCAAATCTATATTCATTTCTCTGAATACCTGGCTTGAGTTATAACATTACTGCACCTGCAACGATGGGAGTCACTCCTGTGTATCCAGTGTTTCTGATGAACAAGACATTTATTCACCTGGATGTAGGTGTCTAAATTCAGGCACCCGTCTTTAAAGCCCCCTAGTCTTCATGATTTTATTTGTAGCACAGACCTAGGCACTCTCATCAGGACTAATCTGACAGAGATTTTATAATCCCTCTCCACAACAGAAATTAAGTGAAGTGAATACGACTATGCAGATGCTTATTATTAAACACACGTGCTGAGTGTTTGCAGGATGAGATCCTAAAATTCATGGATTCAGAAGATATCACGCAGTCATATCCCCTCTGCGGCACAGGCCATTACACTTAGCCCAGTTACCCAGGCACAAAGCTCTGTTTCCCCAGAGCATGTTTTCTAGAGAGTCACACAGTGTTGATATGAAGACATCAAGGCTGTGTCTAGACTGGCAAGTTTTTCCACAAAAGCACCTGCTTTTGAGGAAAGACTTGCCAGCTGTCTACACTGGCCACTTGAATTTCTGCAAGAACACTGACGATCTAATGTAAGAAATCAGTGCTTCGTGCGGAAATACTATGCTGCTCCCATTCAGGCAAAAGTCCCTTTTGCGCAAAACTTTTGCGCAAAAGGGCCAGTGTAGACAGCTTAGATTTGTTTTGCGCAAAAAAGCCCAATTGTGAAAATGGCGATTGGGGCTTTTTTGCGCAAAAGCGCGTCTAGATTGGCCACGGATGCTTTTGCGCAAAAGTGCGTTTGCGGAAAAGCACCTGTGCCAATCTAGATGCTCTTTTCCTCAAATGCTTTTAACGGAAAACTTTTCGGTTAAAAGCATTTGCGGAAAATCATGCCAGTCTAGACGTAGCCCAAGAGATGGTGAATCCACCATCTCCTCTGGCCATTTGTTTCAGTGGCTAATCCTCTTCCCTATGAAACATTTGTGCCTCCTTTCTAGCCTGAAATTGTCTGGCTTCACATTGGTGGTTCTCACTGAGCTGTAACCACTAGACTGAAGAGCCCTTGGGGATCCAGCAGTTTCTCTCCATGAGCAGACTGATACAGTGGAAGCCAGTCAGCTCTCAGCCTATTTATTGGTTTAAACCAACCCCACATTGAAACTGAACTGACAGAGCAGTGAAATAGACAAGATTGAAGGTGCTTTACATTGTGTGCTTTAACTTCACACCCCATAGACAACCCCTTACTGCAGAAAGGGAGCTGCAGGCATACAAATGCAAATACCTGTCACAGCAAAGCAGCAGTGTCAGGGGGGATATAGAAGGAGCAGGGGGCCACTGGACACTGCTACCTGGGTAGCAGGTTTAAAACTAATAAAAGGAAGTTCTTCTTCACACAGCGTGTTGTCAACCTGTGGAACTCCTTGCCAGAGGAGGCGGTGAAGGCTAGGACTATAATAGAGTTTAAAGAGAAGCTGGATAAATTCATGGAGGTTAGGTCCATAAAAGGCTATTAGCCAGGGGATAAAATGGTGTCCTTGGCCTCTGTTTGTCAGAGGCTGGAGAGGGATGGCAGGAGACAAATCGCTTGATCATTGTCTTCGGTCAATCCTCTCTGGGGTACCTGGTGCTGGCCACTGTCGGTAGACAGGATACTGGGCTAGATGGACCTTTGGTCTGACCCAGTACGGCCGTTCTTATGTTCTTATGACACTCCACTCCCTGCTGGCAAACAGGGATCTGGAAGCAGGCAGACCCCCCCCCCAGCACTGATGGAGACAGAAAACACGGGACAACTTGCCTGCTTTTAAGAACAAGGCAGGATCCTGCAGCAGGGCTTAAACCCAGCCCTGTCCCTTCCGCCCGGGGCGCTGCTCGCCCTGGCCGAGGTGCTGGGCAGGAGGAAAACAGCAGCTCCCCAGCCACTGACTCTCACCTGCTTTGGGCAGCGCCTCCTGTCTCCCAGCGGTACCTGCTCCAGGCACCGGCCCAGCCCTAGGAAGTGGGCGCTGCTGCCCCCCCATCCTGGCAGTGGGGAAACTGCTCCGCCCCCTCTACCGTGCAAATGGGGGGAAACTGCTCTGCCCCCCCCCTACCGTGCAAACGCTCCCCCCACGGGGGTAGTTTTGTTTGCGCCGTGCCCAGACTCTGTTCTCGACCCCGCTGCCTGCCCCTGGCTTTGCCCCTGGGCCCCGCAACCAGCTGCGCGATCTCCCCGCCCAGGCGCAGACTTTGCCCCCCTGCAATTTCATGCATCAATGTCCCGCCCCACAAGCTCCACGCGCCAGAGCCCGAAGGGGGGGGGGGTTGCACAGACCCCCCCTGCGAGATGCCCGGGCTGCGAACCCCCCATCAGGCCCGGTTTGCAGGGGATGCTCCGGCCCCGCCCCCAGCAGCTGCTGCCCGGGCCCTTGC